TATTTCCACAGTAATGGCTTCTGAAGTAAGTGAATGGAATCTGAGACAAAGGATTCAAAAGAATGATTAAACACACACACACACACACACACACACACACACACACACACACATTATTTGACCACACATATAGAATAAACATATATATGCTCATAAAAGAGGAATCAGTCAACTGAATGAAACAAAAAGTCAGTATAGGATGGTTAAATGGAAGTCTGTAAAGAGACAGAAATACTAACAGGTAAAAAACAAGACAAAAACCAGGAACTACTGGAAGTGAAAAGTTCAGTATGTCAGATACAAATCTCAGTGGAGAACTCACCAATGGAATAGACCAATAAGACAGAACACTGGGGTTTGGTGGTGAGGTCGAGGAGCTAGGGTATTTATACAATATCAGGTATAAATCAGTAATAAAGCATGAATAGACCATATAAGATTCACATTCCTACCCACAACTCCACCATTAATTATTCTTGCCCCTTGCCTTGTCACTTTTTTTTAAATACTTTTCTCGCTTTTTGTCCAAGCAAAACAAAAAATCTGCATCTTGTTATGTACCCCACTCTGGTGTTTTTTTTTTTGTTTTTTGTTTTTTTTTTTTTTTTTTTTTTTTTTTTTCTGAGACAGAGTCCCTCTGTGTAGCTTTGGAGCCTGTCCTGGAACTCACTTTGTAGACCAGGCTAGCCTCGAACTCAGAGATCCTCCTGCCTCTGCCTCCCGAGTGCTGGGATTAAAGGCGTGCGCCACCACTGCCCGGTTCCCACTCTGGTCTTAACCTCACAGCTCTTATGACTACCTCTAGGCTCTGGAATTTTAAGCATGTGCTACTATACTCTTGGCCTATCAAATTTCATTCTCAGGATTAACCAAAAAGGAAAATATAAATTTGGCCTCTCATACAAAAGAAAAAAAAATATGCAAATTCTCAGGGACTTTGCACGGCAGTGTATAATACCATGGGGATTACCATTCAAGCCTATAGTCAGATTCCTAAAACTTCCTCCCTAGCACTTCCTTCCAGGCTGCAGGAACTGCCTGGGCCTGTGCAGGAGATGAAGATATGATAGTTCAGCACCAACCTTCTTCCCCAAAGGTAGATGTGTTTGGGAATCAGTGGGAGAGTTTGAAAACATACCAAAGCCCATTTCTTCTCCATGGGTGGTGATTCAACTGGCCTGGGTATAGTTTGGGGATGCTCTAAGCTCCAGGGAGATTATAGAGACATGGTGTCTGAGGGCCATGCTTTACTCCAGTGCTTCCTGGAGTATGAAGCTCCACATTTCCCATGAAGCATTGGTCCTCAAACTTCAACCTCAGAATTTCCAGTTCTCATTTGGAGAGCTAAATCGACGCCTGTGACTCATATCCCATCTGTCCCAGTGCCCTGAAATAATGGGCCTGAAATAATGCCCTGGCATTTCCATTTCCACATGTTCCTAGCCAATTGTGTGGCCTCTGCCTGGCCTACATGTGGACAGCCTTTGCTTTAGACAGAACAAGAATGGGGGTTGGTGCCACATGGAGCTTCTGAACAGGCTGAGTCCCTTAGATCTCACCCTTGTCCTCTTGCAATAAGGGGAAAGCTCAAAACTCTCAGTTTTGCCTTTTTCTGTCTTCACTTTACTTATGTTTCAGGAAATGATATAGTCAAGCGTCCTCCAAGTAGACCTAAGCTGAGAGCCTCTAGAAATAAGCCCCTTAGTTATTAATCATCAAAACGTTTATGAGATCTCTATCTGCGATGTACATAATGTTATTACGTTTCAGCAACTAAAATCTATAATGCTCATGCAAATGGGTGCCAACTGGATGTTAATTATATGCACTCCAATTTATATTTTTTCAAAGGCAAATTAAACTTATCTTATTTCACATTTTCACTAATGCAATTTTTTAAATTCCACATTGAAGGCAGCAAAATTCACCTACACTATGAAACTGTGGGGTGGCTAATTAAAAAAGAAATAACAATGCTAAAGCCATGTGGCTGTGTCAAACTGAAGGTCACAGGATACTGAGGCTGAAATGGCCTCCTGGCTGAAACACTTCCTTAAAAGCAGAGAAACAGCTGATCCCTAGCCCAGGCCACGGCAGTGGGGAAACCATACTTGTCAAAGAAGGTTAAAGGTCTTACTGGTCAAAAGCAAATCCAACTTCCTTAATTCCTTTATATTTATGAGGTGAGGGTCATTTTTATTTATTTAATATATTTATTTATTTTTATGAGACCAGAGTCTTACTACAGCCCTGACTTGCCTTGAACTTGGAGAGGCCTGCCTTCCTGTACCTCCCTCCCGAGTGCTGGGGTAAAAGGCAGGCACCAACCTTGGCATTCATATGACTGGTTTCTTAAGTGATTAGAAACACAAGGTAAGGTGGACCAAGTGGCCATGGCAGTCAAGTGGCAATTGATAAATCCATAGGAAGAACGCTTCCAGCTGTGGCAAAACGGCAGCATCACTCAGTGGCGCCCTCCAAGTTCTAAAAGCCTGGAACAAAGCCTAGTGCAGCAGCCACTAAAGCAGAGAGCCTGGTCAATGACCTGGGCATTGGGATTTTTTTTCTAAAGAGCCCCTACAGGCCCACATGTGAAACAATAGTTCAGCAAGGGAAAGAAACACAGTGGGAAGCCCTCCCTACTTTCCAGGCAACTTCCAGACCCCTGACATTTTCCTTAGGATCTGAATCATGGTAAACAGCTGAGAGATGAAAGGACATTGAGCCACACAGCAGCAGCTTATGAGGAATACCTCTGCCGAAACGCTTTGATCTTTTATTCTTCAAATATAACCAAATTGATGAGTGAAGGCCAATGCATCTGAGTCCTTGAGTTTTATCTGGCTGCCTGTGGTTCAACTTAGCTCTGTGGAGTGTGTCTTAACCTGGCTGACTGCTGATAAAAACAAAGAAACCTCTCAGGCTTGAACAAGAACTGGACAGAGAGTGAAGACTGGTCATTCTTGAGACTGGTTTATTTAACATGTCTAACCACCACAGATGAAACACTATCACTTTCCAGTTCTTGAGAACAGCCCCACTGCTGCCTGTCTAGCTGAGGCAGAGGATTTACTTCCAGGACTCCACTGCCCTATGTGGCATTGCTCAGTCTTTAAGGTACAGAGGAGACCCCATCTCAAGCGAAGCAAATACATCCAGACATACAAAAAAAGAATCTGCAAAGGAATCCATGAAAGCACAGGCTTGGGGGCTGCCTCTGAAAGAAAGCTAGGTATTTTAAGTATGGGTTCTGAGCTAGACCAGAGTTGAATTTGCAGCATCTACTGTGGATCCTGGGCGAGGTGACTCCACCTGGCCTCAGACTTCCAAGAGGGAAAGGGTCCGGCCAGCAGAGGGGAAGTGCAGCAGGTGTACAGCATATAGGGTCAGAGAAGGGTTTTGCATCATGACCAGGGATGAGGGCTTGAGACAGGATGACTGAAGGGGGCCACTCACATCTTGACAGCACTTTGGAAATGCAGAAAGGTTACTCTGGCCCACAAAGCTGGGCACTGAGGGACTGCTGTTGGGAAGAAGGCCTAGGAAGCAGAGCAGTGTCTCAGAATGAGGTGCTAAGCACAGAAGAGAAAATCGAGAGATAATCCAGGAAACCTAAAAGCTAATCAGAGGAAGAGATGGGAGAGTGCTGTTGTCCCCACTGTTCTCAAAAAGAACAACTTTCCCGAGAGGATGTTGTCACTGCTGTTTTATAGGAAGTAAATTCACACATGCTGGGGATGGATCAGCATGAGGGTTTCAAATGGTTGTCTCTGTCAAGACATCCAAAAAGAGGAACCTGTTCTTCAGACAATGCCTCACCCCAAGAAAAGATATTTATAAGGGTTTGAAATGCTGACACAGGGTACCAGTTTCTCAACACATGCTCCCATATAACTAAAACAAGTGCACCAAATTGCTGGTGAATTTCAAACATGGTAGAGGTGAGATAGTAGACGGCCCTAAAGATTAAGTTCTGTGTCTTGTAGTGTTCTGTACTGAATAAAATGTTCTATTATTACCAGATGTATTCTGTGAACACCCCTGTATTTTTGTTTGATCACACATTCTAACATCCTAGCTTTCTGAAATGAGATGAGAAGCAAGACATGGAAAATTCATTAACACCAGGCTTGCATTCACTGTGCTTATTCATGAAGCAGTTGTGGCCACACGAACTTTCCAGTTGATTTTCACAAGGAACAACAAAGAGGCGGTCCATCAGTATTATTTGTGCATGGTCACGTGTTGGTCCTCCGGATCTTAAATTGCTATGGCATTCTGGCTGGCCCTTGATTAAGATGAACTTATATTTTAAAATGAGTCATTTACTCTGCCTTAATACACTGCTTGCTAAAATTTCTTGGGAAAGTATAAGTCTTGATGATCTAGACTTAAGACTCTTGCTTCACAGTCACCCAGAACTGTCACTGTTCCGTCTCCTGCAGCCACCTGTACTTAGATTTAAAATGTGCTACTGTGAGGACATCTATTCTCTGCAAAAATGTGGTGGCATGGCTTCAGTCAGGGGGTGAAATGCTGTATCTTTGCTCACTAGCCTTCAGTGGGCTGTTCTGCCATGTTTCCAATTAGCGGAACCGTTTACACAACGATCAGCCTCTATTCTAAATGTCAAAACTACCCGGCTTTCACTCAGGAAAGTTTTGGTAAGACTGCTGCCTTCAATTCAGTTTAATTTTGTCTGTATGGTCATGGTGCAATGCAGAGAGGCTCTGGAGCAAAATGGTACCCACAGGCTTTGAGGGGCTCAAAGGGCCACTCACAAAGCTATGATGAGCAAAGAACGACCTACACTCACGAAGTAAAAGTTTCCCGTCATGATCAGAAAAACATTCCCAATGTGGCAGAAGCAACTAATGGATACAAAATGTTATTCTCCCCAAGTCTAGCAACAGCAAAATTATATGTATGAAATAATGTGATTGTTCTTCACGGGTATCAGCATGACAAAAACATTACTTCCGTTTCCACCTTCCACTTACCAACTTAAATGTCAATGTTTTTAAAGCTTTGGGGTCATCTACAATCTTCTGTAAATTAGCAGCCACTGTAAAATAAAAACACAGAGAAACAGTGTCCAAGTTATTTCCAATAACTCTGGATTTTCACATCAATGATTTGGAAAATTTGACTAATGATGCTATAAACTGCAAAATCATTTCTTTCACAGGCATTACAAAGTCCATATAAATGACCAAATTACTTTCATACAGATATTTTCTAAAACCATTTCTATCATTTCTGTCAACTCCTATCTATGTGCATCTGGATTAATCACTGTACATCAACCCTGCATTTCCTATAATAAAATTTGAAATTACTTTCTAATGGAAAGTAAAAATGATAGCAGCTCCTGAGTCTCAACTGGTTGGTTTTTCTAGAAACTCATTACTGAGAAAATGATTAGCCAGGAGGGGGCAGTGCAAAAGAGGAGAGGGTTGTTACAAACTTCCCTGGGAAATAACCAGTCAGCATGTTGGAACTCTTGGCCTATAAATTCATTCAATTCTCTGCACCCATTTTTATCATGGAACACAATACGGCAGACAACCTTTACAGCTCAGGCAGGTTGTTATGCTTTCAGGCCACCGTGATCTGTCTCTATATGGTGATATGTCACCTTGAACAATACCTGAGTTGGTGGGCCAGGGTCAATGTACGGAGACTGTCAGTGCAGAGCTCCGCACTGAAGAGCTAGTCCCAGGGTCAACGGATCCATCAGAGGTTGGCCCTGGTCTCTATGCGCTCTGGTATATCTGGGGCTGTAGTACAGAAGGCAGACTTTTCCCAGCTGCCCATCTAACTTGAAGTACTACTTATGAGTGGAATCAGCAAAGAGGATGAAAATGGAAAGCTACTTTTTTACATCCACACTTCAGGTACAAACTATTGAGAGTCAAGTTGGAGCCAGTGGAAAGAGGTTCTTATTAGAACAAAAACCGAGACGACGGGGTAGGGGTGGGGGGTGCTGTTTGTCATTTTTATGTTGTCAGAAAAACTAACTGCTGATTCAGGTTTTTTTTTCCCCCTGAATTTTTTGAGGTTCAAGACTTTGAGAAGACAGAAATACACTATGAGTTTCAAGTAGAGAGTAGAAGGAAATATGTGAAAATTTTGTTTTCCTTTATGGCTGACAGGAATAAACCTAGATATGATGAATTTCTGCAGATTTACTTCATTTAATCTGTTAGTTGTAAAGGAGGGCAAAATGAAAATTACAGGCTTGATGTGGCCTATTTTTCTTTATAAATCACAATTATAAGCATGATTTTATCTGCGCTTATTGCCCTCTCACCTAGCTGCATTCTGAGCAACCTGAAAGGTTTCATTTTTACCCACGCCCACTCCCCCTTCTCATCTCTTTTTCTTTTCTTCTGTTGGCACAGGCGATCGGACACAAGTACACACCTATTGACCATAGCCCAGGCCACTGACGCCCGTGAGGCTGGCCTCCCTGAGCTTTATGAATAGACTCGAGATACTAAAATCATCAGTAATTTGTGTAAGAAATACTGGCTCCCAGAGTGAGGTTTCCAGCTAGGAGACACCACCTACCAAAGAAAGCCAGCATTTACTATGTCAGGACACTCTGACTATATGCAAATTGCAGGAGGGGAAGACGGCGCTTGTGTTCTTAAGACATAAAAACGTTCTAATAGCCCCACTGATTCGGGCTGATTTCACGAGTGGCTGTAAAGTTGTCACATGAATTTTAGTCCTTTCATTGGGCTCTCTTGGCTAATGTGGCTGATTTACTGCTTTGTTCTGGGTCATCTATTTCTAGGTTGCTATCTAATGTTCAGCCAGACACACTGCTCTGTCCTGCATGAATTCATAGCCCTCTGGGGTACAAACATGTGCACAAGGGCCAACTTCTAGGGAAGTGGCCAGCAGCTTGTATACCTACTCAAAAGGAGGCATGGGCTGCAGGCATCTGAAACAATCACCTTAGGACCTAGGCTCCCCAAGTGTGGATCCCATTCCTCTGGGACATTAGAAATTCAAATTCTGTCTTCGGCTCAGAGCAAAAATAGCAAAACTGGCCACTTACCTGATTACTTAACCCAGCTGCTAGGCTTATTTTCAATTTAGTTGATTCTAATTTGTTGTAAAGTGCTATAAAACACCTTCATTTAACTGACATCACAGAAAATTCAGGGTGATGCTAATTTCTCTTCCAGCAGCAATACTCATTAAAAAGATGGGTGCCACTGCTCTCTCCCTTCTCCTGACTGTGCACCTGGATTTCAAAAATAAAAACGCTCCTTACCTGGAACGTGAGTGGAGAAGGAAGTGGTGGGTGGGCTGCCTGTGACTCCAGGCTTCTCGTCCATGTCAGAGAACACTGAAGCTGCTGTGCTACGAGACTCTAGAGTTTCCCAAAGACTTGCTTCCAACGCCCATTTCCTTGGCCAAGAACTGAACTTAAGTCCCTCTAGACTTCCTAAAATAAAACTCAGGTCTTTCTCTTCAATGCAAACCATTCTCTTCTTTGAATTCGCCTCCTAGTTCCTTGCCAGGCCACTGAACTCAGTCCCAAGAACTTCTCCATGCTCGGGGGAAGCAGGGACACGGTGAGACCCAAGGGCTCTACCTCTTAAGCCTCCCTCCCTGTTTTCCCTTGCTTCACATGTTAGGCTTGGTGGTCCGTCAGGACTAAATCTGTATTTCCATTTCTTTTCATAACGTGTAGCATATACAGCAAGCACTGTGACTTATGAAGCTGTAATAACATCATTAATGGCCCACATGGAAACCATGCTCATTACCTCCCTGGATCTAAACAGAGAAGGCAATAAGACTGTCTGGGCAATCTGTCAGTATCCAGGTGGCCAAGTACATACTTCTTTGGCAAATGAAGCCAGGTCTTCTCCAGACAGTTTTCTCTATGAATGCCTTGTGTTCCTCAAATTCTCCATATTTTCATAGTTAAAGAATTAATGGTGATGTAAGGACTATTTATAGCCTGTGATTATATTCTGAGTAATTAGTCAAGAGGTGCACTTCTCTCCCGGGGTAACAGATCATTTGATAACAATCTCATACAATGCTGAAGTTTCTGTGATGGTGAGTTAATTTAACTTGACCTAGTACTAAGCAAAAGCTTGGGGGAAAGAGGGCCAGTGATCACTGAGTCTGAGGGAAGGCCATGAGTAAGACTTAAGATAAGACAAGTGCGATCTTGGGACACCTGACAGGGTGATGACTTCAATCTGATGATTTATTCAATAGACATCCTGCATCCTTGATCTCACACTGAGTCGATGCGGAAAAGTAGAAAGAAGTGCCAAAAGGAAGGGAGATAACTCCAGGTCTAAGGAGAAAAGGGGGTGAATATGGGTGCTACTCTAAAATGAATGTGAAAATAATGGCCAGTTACATTCCAGATCCGGATGAAGCAAGAGATTCATCTCAGTAATTTCCCTACATTTCCAGTTTCTTGACTTCATGGAATGCACTGAAGTACAGTGTGCACAATCTAAACTCCCCATTTAGAATGCCTGGGTTCAAATCCAGTCTCTTGCTTAGGAGATGGGTGACCTCTCTGAAGTGGAGTAAGCTCATTCTGTCTCTGTGTGCTCGAGTGCTTTTGAGTATTCCTTGTGCTCACACATCTGTGCTTTCTGCACTGGGCAGCTGCACCTGTCTTAGCTGGCTTGTCTTCAGTCTTTACTGCTCTTTGTGGGTCTTTCACACCCATTATTTATGTGGGGATCTGGGTCACAAATGAGAATGTGCTGCCTCCTTGGAGAGTGCCATCTCAACAGAGTCTAGACTGTTACTGAACACACAAGAATGAAGGCACAGAGGCTACCATACCCCCATCTTCTGGGGCTACCGTTAGCAGATGACTCTAAACTTAGTCTTTCTCTGGGAGTTCCTTATGCTCAAAGAGCTGGCTTAGCCCCAGCCAGGGCTCTTCCCAAACCTGCATGCCTTCAATGAGAGTAAGAAAGCCCCATGTCTTCAATGCTGAATGACCCTGAGAACTCTCTTGGTTTGAAAGCTCCTTTTGGTGAGGCCTTTTTCTCTGTGGGAGAACAATTTAATTCCTCCACATTCGGATTCCTTAATTCCTTCACAGCTATTGAGCATGAAAACACTCCCCACAAAACCTACCTAGATACAAATCTATGCCTCTCATTCTCTTAGACTCTGTTCATGAGTGGAACACAGAAGGAACCTCCCATTACAGAATTCTGGGACAATACAAAAATGGTAAAAGAAATATTGAAGTAAAATAAGAAACAGCCACATTAAATACTTTTCTTGGGATTTCATTCAATTAAAATCCTGGTGAGAAAATGGGGTGCTTCTATGAGATACTACATGAACTACAAGTATCAGTTCATAGGAGAAGCAAGATGTCATACTTGAGTACCTTATTACTTATACGTAAAAGGATGAAATTCATGGGAAACAGGAACAGAGACATACACCCATAATTCTCCCTAAGGTACAGGTAAATTCCAGTTAGTATAACTTGGGCAGGGTGTGAAAATCCGAAATCACTTGACATAGCAAAACTACCTGTTACTGAATCTGCCCTTTAAAATATAACTGTTTAAGACTGGTATTTTGATCTGAATTTTGTTTAATGTGTTGAAGGTAAAATTTTATGAACTGGCTGACAACAATGGTAATGGAAGTGTCCAATAATCATTATGTTATTATTGCTCACTTTCAGAGCAATGAAATTGTATAATCAATATAGTTGTAACCTCATCTGGATAATGGTAGTGATAGACCAATATACTTACAGTTAAATTCCTCTCCAAAATGAAGATGAAAAAAGTAAAATAAATAAATAAAAATAAAAGCATGGTGTGAGAGAGGATAGCTAAGTCACACTTGCCAAGAATAAAGGGCATTCATCGGAGATAATGACAAGAAGTCACTCAGTTGCTTAGAGAAACAAAGGGGATTTCCTTGGGAGACGCACCTAGTAAAATGGGCTTTGCTTTCTAGAATATGAAGAATTCTATAGGTATCTTAGCCTGGGCTTTTAGCCTTAGAAACCTCTAAATTTTTAGGTGAAACTTTGTG